GGGGGGGGCAGCAGCCCCTATCTTAATTTTGGTTGACCCCGGTCTGCCTGACATCATGTGTCTGGGTCTCAGCTGCCATGAAACCCAGATACAGCATTCAAAACCCGGACTGTCCGGGTGAATCCCGGACAGGTGGCAACCCTACCAGAAGCCCAAAAAGGGAAATCGGGTCCTGTCCCTATGACTGAATAAACAGATGTAATCCACCAAGACAACATAAAGTCTGCAGGAGAAGGGTTCTTGTTTTTAATAGACAAGAGTTTGTGTTTGAGGACCATTCCTTTATACGACATGGAATGAAGCACAGGCCTGCTTTCCCTAGGATTTTCTGCAAATATTTTAAAAATTGTTTTAAAGAATAAAGACTTACCCCTGAGTGCAGTCCCATTGGCTGCCAGAATCATTTGATCAGCTATAGTCTTTGTCTTGGAATAATAATCCAGCTGCTAAACAAACACATTAAACTTTTTAGATGGATATACAGGGTAAAAGTTTACATTCAGTATGAGTACAGCACTGGCTTCTTGAAACAGAAGAAAATGAGGATGTGTACATACCCGCATTGATATGATCATCACTCTGCTCGCTTTACTTATCAGCAAATGTTTGGATGACAGCACTGTGCACCACAGCAGAGCATGACTCGCATCTAGTGCTGCCATTGCCACTGCTAGTATGAGTCTTAGTGTCAAGGGATTTGATATATTTGTAGTAAATGTATTTAAAAATATATTTAATATTTTTTTCAAGTATTACCGCTGTTTTAAATAATGTTTTTTGTTATATTTGCATTGGGTTTAGTTTTAAAAATACTTCACAGAATTTAAAAAAAAAAAATTTCAGCACCTAGACGAAAATGAGCACTTAACCCTTGCAGTGCGGGGGTAGCCCACTGCAAGGGTTAAGAAAAAAGGTGCCCAGAGTTCTGCTTTAATGTATTGTATTGTAGGATATCTCTTTTCTGTTTTACTCCCTCACCATGAACTGACTGATTATCTTTAACAATATAATCAGAAAGTGGAAATACTTTTGCACTAATTAGTTTGTACTGCAAGGCTGTCTAGCACAGTGAGGCTCTTACAATGTGCTTTTAACATTTTTAGGTATAAATCTTAAATGTAAGATCAATGTATTATAAAGATATTAGAGACTAAAGAAGACCCTCTGTGTCACCAACAAGCTCTCACCATGATGCAAGCTCTAGCGCTGTCTGGTCTTTTCCAAACCTGTTGGATGGTGCAGATGCTGTGCTGCAGACTGACACCAGAGAGTGACCCTCGGGATTGCCCAGGTGGTGAAAGTCGACAAATCAGACAAGGCCAGAACAAAGTACCATATAATTACAGAGACTCTGTCACCAACTTAAAAAAGCTGCAGGTAAAATCACAGAAAAATCGAATATTTTAAATACTTACTTGTAACGTTTTTTCTTTCCACATATAATTTTTTATTGACTTGCAATGTGCCTCTAAACTGCTCCAAAAAGTGTCAGTTCCCTAGCATGGCTCCCGGTCTCCTTACATGTCATAATCCTCTCTTCTTCTCCATCTAATTACTTTCTGTGCTGGCCAAGCTCCTGCACCCCTCCCCTCACCCTCATTTATGTAGCAGCTGGGGAAGGAGCAGAGGGGGGATACTATAGAGCAGGGGTGGGCAACTCCAGCCCTCCAGCTGTGCTTCAACTACAAATCCCCACATGCTTCTGCCTCTGGGATTCATGCCTGTACCTGTCAGTCTTGCAATGCCTCATGGGACTTGTAGTTCCACACAGTGGCGTAACAACCGGGGGGGCGGGGGGGGGCACTTGCCCAGCCCCGGGTGCCCATAACTCTGGTTACGCCACTGGTTCCACAACAGCTGGAGGGCTGGAGTTGCCTACCCCTGCTATACAGTGTAATTTGAGTGAGTGAGTCTGCTGGGGCTGCTGACATCACATCCAAGATGGCAGTGCCTATCAGCAGTCTCAGCGCTTTTGGATGTCTACACAAGGGAGGCTTTTACATGCCTAAAAAATGTTACATGCACATATTCCTAAACAAAGATTGTTGTTGACATGAATGGTATGGTGACAAGTTCTTTTTAAGCAGAGGCAAAGTCAGGACAGGCTGAAAGTCAGGGATAGTGATGGGCATGGGCTTGGCCAGGCTCAAACTTAGTTTACTAGTTTGTATTGAGATTGTAGTCACAGGGGCGAGTTTGGAGTGGTGGCTACTTTACAACACAGGGACCATGGGGCACAAAAGCAGCCACCCTCCAGAAGGAAGGACAGTGTCAGCACCAATTCAGTGATGATTGGAAGATCTAAAGCCGAGTGATACACAAATAAGATACATTGTTGTTAATATTTAAGGTGCTTGAATGCATTTCTAAGATTTAACTCCTCAGTTTAGTGTCACTTTAAGCTCTTTTGATTGAAGCCAGTTGTGCAGCTGCAATGTGACCACACCTTAGGGCTAGTTCACACCAAGCACGTTCCAGGAGCAGAGCAGTTACAGAACGGATCAAAACTGCGTCCAATGTATTCCAATGGTATTTTGGGCTCTAGTTCACACCGCAGCGTTCAGTTCCAGAGCATGTAAAAAAACTGCAGCAAGCCCTATTTTACCTGCTCTGGAACGCATTCAAACCACATGCAAATGCACTGGAACGCACTGAAAGCCCATTTTAAACTACAAAAAAAGTTTTTGTTTGCAAAAACGGCCCTGAGCGTGTCAAAAACGCGGCAAAACACTCTGCACTGCGTCTGGTCTGCATTTGGTGTGTACAAGCCCTTAGTACTGAATATAATACAGCAGATGGTGTGGGCACACACCTAGACACAGCACATTGAACACTCCAGGAGTACATCAGGAGATACCTGGATGCAGGGTGTTCATAGCGTGTGTCTGTTATATGTTAAATAAACTGGCATTTTATCTAAGGCAAATTTAGAACAGTAATAAATGTAATATAGTCTACAGAATATGGTATGATAAATAGAAAAGAAATAGCAAGAAATATTGTATTTTTTACTTTCACATTCCTTTCTTACATGCTCCCTCCGGAGGCAGCTTTACCTTTTCAGGTGGATAGTACGCTGTTGTTTCCTCATCACCTTCTTCTATGTAATTTCCTCCAAATACCACATTTACTGTACTGGTGTAAATTAATCTAGGAATGTTTCTTGCTACACACACTGCAAACAAAAACAGAAAAATGCCAGATTCTTTAATAACTTTGTCATTACTTAGGATAGTGAAGTAGTACATATTGTTTCTTTTTTCGAGACAAAAAATGATTATGTCTGGCAATATTGTCTTGTAAAGATGTTTATTTCTTAAAAGAGAACTATGAGGTAAGAGTTTTTCCCCGTAGTTCTCTTTAGGGTCACGGGAGGACATATACTAACCTCCTTCCGTGACCCAAAGCTCAGTATATCGCGGGCTGTTGCCCACGATATACTGAGAGCACCGCAGCCGGGACGGATCCCGATAATACTGTTGTGATCCACCCAGCTGTGTGAGTGACAGCTGGCTCTGCCTATCTAGAGGCAGAGCCAGCTGTGCCCACCCCCTCACCTGTTCGCTCCTCCACTCAGCGCTAGAGGATGGGAGAGGGGAGGGGGGAATCCCAGCGGGGAGCGGTGACTGACTGTCACTGGTCACTGCAGGGAGATGATCGGGAAGTGAGCGGATCAGTTGCAAGTTTCTGCTCATTTCCCAATCAATAGAGCCGACCTGTGACAGCTTCTTTTCCCTAGGTGGCCATACACTGTGCGAATTTCGGCTGGTTCTTAAGGAACCGGCTGAAATTCGCACAGTGGGTGCCTCTACCAGCACCCTTTCTGCCAGTATTCCTTAATCAGCTGATCGAAAGAGCCGGTCGGAAAATCTTCATACGAACAGAGTCGGCAGCCAATAAGCTTTTTGTATTCTGGCCACTGTCAGAATACAGAAGAAACAGCAGGGATTCCTCAATCAAAGCGCTTGTAGCGTTGATGGAGGAATCGGCTCTATTTTGTTCGTTCAGCCGGCGAGTTGACCGAAAAAAATAGAGCAGTGTATGGCCAACTTTAGACAGCAGGTGTGGCAACAAGTGGAGAGCATAGTGTTAGATTAGTAGATTTAGATGGACTTTTCACACTAGCAAAGTGAGTAACCAATGAAAGCCTAACTCCGGCTAACACTTTTTAAACAGTTACAGAAACATGTTTTTCTTTCCTTTTGGGGTTAAGGTTTTAACTAAATGAATAAAAGCTCACGGCACCCCTGTCAGTGTTAAATGTTAGAGGGCCTCAACCCTCTAACTTCCATTTTTGCTGGACAGCTTGGTCTGTTAAAGGAAGTTCAAAAAATAACTTACTGTCTAGACCCACAGGTAATAAAGTTATGTTACAGGGGAGACTCACAGCGTCTGCTGTGTTAATGCTATTGACAAACTGCATCTTATATGTCATGTTTGATTATACCCGTAGTTCCACTTTACGTGTTTCACAATTCTCTTCCTTTCCAAAACTGAGGCTCACTGCATGATTTTCAAAATAAGCCCACAGTCTTATCACTCATATAGTTTTACTGTAACATTGCTAAAACAAATTTGCTTACCATCAATAACAACTTGTGTCCCTCCTATATTTATGGACTCAATTTGTCCCTTCTGGAGCTAAAAAAGAAATGAGAAACTATAACTCAGGTTCAAAATGCACCATTATTGTTATTTCTGGGACGCTTTGGTGAGCTACAGATGTGCAGAAATTTGTCGGCACCCTTTCAGCTTAGAATGACTTCCCTGCAGTAAGAAAAAACATAAAAAAGCCAAACTAGAATTTGCTAAAATACAAGCCCCAATGCTGATGAGACAAAACTGGATCTTTTTTACAAGTCAAGTAAGCTTTATGTTCACAGATGAAAAATGGAACATTAAAAAAGAACACCATACCTACCATAGGTATCCTATCCTAACATGAAGGAGGCTCAGTTAGGTTTTGGGTGTGCTTTACTGCATTTGGCAAGGGTTGCCATGAATCTGTGCAGGACACAGTGAAATAAAAAGCTATTAAAGTGACATTAAACCCTCAGATTTTTTAACATAAAACAATAGTGAAATGTGTGCCTTACTGTAATCCATGGTAGTTTCCCTTCTCTTTGCTGCTCTTCCTTTTAAATCTGTATCTGTTCTCATGCTGGGCAGAACTTCTGGTTTGCAGCAGACTGCCCTGTCTCTGGAATGGATACATGGTGTCTGTGTGTAGGTTTGCAACCTGAGCCAGCACTACAGGAAGAGGCACTCAGCCGCAAATGGGAAGTTCTCCCCCAGCATGAGAAGACATGAGGATTTAAAAGGAAGAGCAGCAAAGAGAAGGGAAACAACCAGGGATTACAGTAAGGCACACATTACAGTATTGTTTTATGTTAAAAAATCTGAGGGTTTAATGTCACTTTAAGGAATTCTGGAGCCAAATGTACTGCAAAAAGTATTGTGAAGTGGCCTTCTGTGAGTCCTGATCTGAATCAACATCTATGGAAAAAGCTAAAAATGCAGTCTGGGGTAGGAACCCCTTCAGACCTGAGACAGCTGGAGCAGTTATCTCAAGAAGAGTGGACCAGACTACCTGTTGGCAGGTTCAGAAGTCTCACTGAGTGCTATAGAAATCGCTTGTTTGCAGTGAATGCCGTTAAATGTTGTGCAACAAAATATTAGGTTAGAGTTCCTGTCAGAAAGCCAGGACCAGAGGGCGAGTTTCGCCGTTCGCGCATGCGCCTGTTGTGGACCATAGGGCCATAATAGGTGCGGCATTGTTGCGTGGACGTGCGCGCGTTTGTGCGCGACGTGCGCGGGTTCGTGCGCACGTGCGTACGGGCACGCGCCGACGTGTTAAGTGAACAATTGGCACCAACTGGGCTATAAAGGCTGGGTACTGATATCCTCCATTGCTGTCTGCTCGTCAGCTTTCTGTGGTTCGTTCCTGATTCCTGTTTTTGACCCGGCTTGGACATTCTCTATTTGTGCTCTCTCCTAGTTGACCTCGGCTTGTTCCTGACCCTGATTTTGCCTACTCCTTTGTACTGCGTTGCCTGCTCATTGATGACCTCGGTTTGCTTGACCATCCCTCTGCTTTGTGATTCTGTTTCCAGGTCCTGTCAGCTCATTGGTTCCAAAGCCTGCTCAATCCTCCTTGAAGCATCTCATCCTGCTTCCTACCTGGATCCACACATTGCAGCTCACAGCGGAAACAGGCTAACCAGCCTCTGGCACCCTTGCCCCTCTGCGCCCTGGTGCCCCTGTAACCAATCCAGGTGCTCCAGGACCGGAGCAGTGAGAGAGGCCGCCTTCATCAACTCAGACTCCCCGAAGGTACGTGACAGTTCCCATAATTTTTGTCTGTGCCATTTTAATTTTTTTTATTATTTAAAAATATTCTGATGAATCCAAAGTTTAAAAAAAAGTCTAATTTAATATGGAATAAACAGTGATGGTCAATTACTTTTGTCAGTATCACGTTATTTCAGAGAAAATTGTGGGTTTTTCTTTTCTTGCGAGATGGTACCAACAAATTTGTCCACATCTGTATGTTAGTATGTGATAAAAACAAAGAACTCAAATACACAAACCCATTAAAAGAAAAAACAAAAGTTTGAAAGAAACAGTTGCAGGGTCGTTCATCCCACAGAGCTGATCTCAATATGACTTCTGCAACTAACATTAGGGAAAGCATGTAAAAAATTATGTCTTGCGAGGCAGTCAGCGGGGATAGTGGTGTCCACTGTCAACTGCCCCGTTACGCAATTTACTGTATCTATGCCATGCGTATTTGTCTCACATCTGTGTTTACGGTGGCTGCGTCCACCACCTGAATATTGGTTACGAGCTAGTGTGGGCTCTTTGTGATCCTTATTTGTTCTGCTTAATAAAATAATTTATTTTAAAAAATGATGTCTTTTCACTGTCTTTGGGGCATACTGAATAGTTGTACTCAATATGGTGTGAATTATAATGTAATAAAGTGGGGATGCATGTCGCAGCAAAAAATTAAACAACTTCTTTCAGTAAGTGAAAGATCGCAAAATAAAAAAGCAAAAAAGTAATATTACACAAAATACAAAGATAAAAATAACTAACACTCTAGCACTTTATACATAAAACATTCTAGCAGTGCTCCCACAAAAATTATTCTTCAGTCTCTTGATAATTGTAATTGATGTGGATCACTCCTAATTGAAGTTTCCAGTCTTTATATAAATACATTTCCTCACTCCTGTTGGAGTGATAATAACTACCACTCACCTGCTGATATCCTGACATTCCAAATGATGCGGCATGAAACACACAGTCCACCCCTTCACAGGCTTTGTAGAGGGAGTCATAATTCCTTATATCACCCTGCAAAACCAACATGGTACATTAGAATGTTTTCTGAATGGCTTTAACAGGTCACACATTCGTTTCAGTTTTAGGGACTGCTCTGTAATTATATAGGTTCAGGTTAACGGATGAGTTTCTAAGGTTTAGGGTTAGTGTTAGAAGGTGCATTGACATTAAAGCCCAATTGTATTCACATAGATAGATAAACCTTCATTTTTATAGTCTTATCTTTACTTTTTGGTTACAGTAGTTGTGTGAGATGTAGAACTATGACTGTGCAGTCCAATAAGGCACCAGAGTAAAGCTGGTCATACACCAGTAGAATTCAGTTTGAAACCGCTCATTTTCACAAAGTTTGTTTGATTTTTTTTGATGGTTAGTGGGGTCTGATCAACGTTCATTTTTTGACCTTAGTAACAAGGAAAATCAAAGAAGCAGAATGGAAAATATTTCTTGTTTCTTACCTAAAGGAATAAAATTCTAACCATGAATGTGACTTTCGTTCAGGAAATATCATACATATTGTAATGCGCTTGTGCTAGGCAAAAAAGAAACCTGTTTAATGCATATGGAATTCCATTCAAGAACAGGTTTGGGCGAGAATTTAAAAAACCTTCAAACAAAATTAGTTGACTCAGTGATGGCAAGATCAAATGCTCTGACAAATGATTTCAAAGGAGCGTTCAAATGAAAATGATTTTGAAGTATTGGCCAGCTTTAGACCCAGTGCACTTAGTAATCAGCACTCAATAACAGACCTGGTCAGACACACCCCCTCTCCTCTTCTGCAATACAAGTCAGTGGACGGCCACTTTGGATGAGGGTTGTGGCTATTACTCGGCTATGCCAACACAGAGGACTGAAGTGAGAGCAGCAGGAAACAGCAAGTGAGAAAAATAAATCAGTCATAACTTTAACATGCAGGGGTATATAGGTGAAAAGGTGTGATACTTCAATTGGGATTTAAGGGTCAATAAGTTACTATTACTTTTTTATAGTGTGATATATCTTCTGGTGTGATAGGCAGCATAAGTTATTTGTTCTGAAAAATGTGTGTGCTGCCATTTTTGAAGCTGAAACACTAGTACTAAGAACAAAATGCTGATGTGCAATAATTAATGTGTGGTAACATGTGCTGTTTTGCACGTTAATGTGCGTAACATTAGGGCAACTAATTCATTGTGAATGGGCTGCCAAAGCACACCACCCAATCAAAATCGGACATGACTCATTCTTTCAAACGCAGTGCACCACAATGTGCTGTGGCGTGCTGCAGTGTCGGTGCATTGCACCTGCCACTGTTTGTTGCAGTGCAGGTTCCAACTACTGTCTTAGTGCATTGGGGTGCCTTTCAAAATAAATTACACCACAAAGCACTGCGGTTCCCACGTTGCTGTGCATTGCCATAATGCATGGTAAAAAGTATATTTTACTTTTTATTACCCCAATTTCTAAGTTCCAACCAGATAAAAAATACCAGTTGATGCAATGATGTACTGTATCAGTTAAAGATATATATATACTGTATATATATATATATAATTTTTTTTGTTTTTTTGTTTGTTAATGCCACCTATTGTAAGCGTCTGAATTTGTCTTCATTTTAGCCCACTGTGAACCTCTGTAGAGACAGACGCTGTGCTGTACCGAAACAGATTCCACACAATGCATATGTGCCTACTGAGAACATGCTGGCAGGTTAAGAGAACATAGTGAGCACAGGGATGATTTCATTAGTATGCTGCTTCTCCTTCATTATCCAGTGTGTACTTAACTGCTTGTCCAAAGTTTAGCTTTTATCAGTTGCTGGAATTACTTAGCATTCTAGAAATCTCTGTGACTAACACATTTTCCATTTTACCTGTATAAAGGTAGAGCGGCTTTGTACTTCCCAGTCTGGTTTGTGCAAATCAAACAATATAACATAGTATGCCAGCTTCATTAGGGCAGATCCAAGGTTGTGTCCCAGATATCCAGCACCTCCCGTCACCAACACCTTTGTAACTTCCCAAGTGCCAGGATGTGCACTTGGTATACAGGGAGGCACTCTGCCCTTGTGTGGCACCACACCATTTGATCTGATAGTCCTGAATGGTATAGAATTTCTGAGACATTCCGCACAGATTGCTTCCTTCTCAATGTTGTTTCTCAGGTCTTCCAGCTCACTCCCGATTCTCGTTTCCCTCATGATGACTCAAGAAAGATGCCGTTAACCCAAGCTCTGTGGATGAAAGAATCACACATAACAATAGCTATATGCAAAACATAAAGATCTAATACATTTATTTCAGCCAGAAGCATTTTAGAGCTTAAGTGTAAATCTCTTAAAGTGAATCTCAGCCAAAGAACAAAAATTTAATACATTGCAGATTACCAGACCTTAGCTGTGGTGGCTGCATTCATTTCAGGGGTGTCCTGAGGCCGAGTGTCACTTGGAGCGGATACCAGGTGACAACCCGCCGTGGCATCATCTTGCATGCGTGTGACATCACGCGCGTGCGCAATTACGTCATCATGCATGCGCGGCCATCTTGGTGATACCTGCCGGCGACCATCTTGGTGATGGATGCCGGCAGAGAGAGGAGGGGACGTTCACCCGGAGGGATAAGGTATGCCACCGGGTCCCCTCATCATTCCTACAACTGTCGGGCTCTCAATCCATGACCAAGTGCCCGACTTTTCAGAGGGGGTGACTATCAGTCATTTTGGTGTCACCCCCCAATGGTGTCACCCGGGTGTGAGCTGCACCCCCCTTGTGAGGCCACTGATTCATTTTCTTGTTTTCAGGCTTTTTTTCTTAATTTTCACCTGTTGATCTTGCCAGTAACACACTTCCTGTCCTTTGGAATAAGTAACAACATTCACTCACTGTACTGTGTCTGTGGAGTTGTCACCCTAGGCTGCTTGCCTTTGATTTAGACTACAGAATGCATTCTGCTCTCCTCATCTTCATAACTTAGGGAGGAGGTGTTCTTTAGTCCAGATAAATTAATGGGGCAAGGCTGATAACTCTGCTTGGGGTTTCAGTGCAGCAGAGGCATAGCACACAGGACGTTGAGAGTTTGCTGGATTTCTGGCAGGATCAACAGTTTTTTTTTTGCACTTGCAGTGTTTTTACAGAGTCAAGACATGGGTCAATGTGCATGTATTGGACAGATTTGCTGACTATGTTTTTTTTTTTATTTTGCCTTGACTTACACTTTAACAGCTTTATATCTACTTGAAGTCTGTTAGAATTATCAACTCTTCATGGCTACCTTCACTCTAGTTGCAGTGAGAGTTATAAGGACATAAGTAGTCCCTGGCAATAATATGCATTTTTTTAATATGTCTTGTTGGGATTTCTACTGTAGTATATAAGACGTTTCATTCAATTAAGGCTGATCTCTGGACTCCTCCTGTCACCCTAACAAACTCTAACTAAATGCGGGCATTACAAAAACAAACAAAAACAACTTCTCTTCTCTACAGTCATATATCACATATGATGATCCAGTCCCAACCAAGTCTTCTCTCTTGTGCTGTTTACATTAGGTGGTGTCACATCGCTGCCTGCATGATGTGGGTACTTCCTATTGGCTGTCCAGAGGAAGAATGCTCTCAAGATCCAGAAGGAATCTCTAAATTTTTGCCCAGAAAGGAGCTTGGAAAGTATATATGACAGAATATATGTGTACCCAAAAGTATCTGTTATAGCAAACTATAGTGTATGTATAATGAGCAAATATTTTTATGTTTTGTTATCATTTTTATCTAAAATATATTTACCTAAACTTAAGAACAAAAATGTCATATGTTTGCAGCTTACCAGTCCTCAGATGTGGTGGCTGCATTCGTTTTCCTTTTTTTTTCAGGCTTTTATTCTATGATTGTTACATGATGATCGTGCCAATAACACACTTCCTTCCTAGGAGGAGCCATATTGTTACGCTAGGATAGGAACACCTCCCCTCTCCTCGTCTCCATAGCATTACTGGTGGTATTCTGTAGTTTACAGATATGAACTGGGCAGGGCTGACACCACTGCAGGGAGCACAAGAAGTTAAAAGTCCATTGGACTTCTGGCAGAATCCCAAAAATTTTTTTTTGCACTTATTGAACAAAGTATATAACAACTTTCAATGGTGTATTTAACAAACTAAATGGGAGCAAATAATAGAGGGTTTACATATACTTTGGGTGCAGATATTTGCAACTCTGATTGGCAGATTTGCAATAAATTGGAAACCCATATTTGGTGTCCCAAGGAAATAAAACTGACACTCTGGGCCCACACACACATTGCCTTAATGCATATTGGATGATGGATATCAATACTCATTACATATACAGAATGTATAGAAAACTACACAATCTAATACTTTGAATTTGCTTTGACATGTCAGTTATTATACTGGCTGCTCTCATTTTATATTTTACATTTAGATTTACTCTATTCTATTTTTTCAAGCCAGGTTTATTCCTATGCTCTTGCTTCCTCCTGCCTCTGCCACTTGACTAACGTCTCATCCTATTTATCTGCCACTTTCCCTTTGCTCTGGCCTGCCTCCAAGTTCAGCTTATCTTCTAGATATCCTCCCCGTTGGCCTGTCTGACCCCCACGTCTTGTCTCAATTGTTGGATTTAATGTGGCCTTGTCAGTACCAATTCACTGCCCTTATTACTCATAAGATATTGTCCTGAGACCAATAAAGGGACTCTTACTTTATTCTACACTTGTCTGGTAGGAAGATCAATGCAGGAATATATAAATATGTTACCAAAGACTTTCTAAGAGCTCATCATTGTATACAGTGCTTTCTTTCAGTCTTTCTAATATTATCGACACACTTAAATGTTTTATTTGCTTTTCTTGAGTATATAGTTTATTCTTTATAGTGTTACATAATTAAATATATATTATATTTGATATATTGAATGTGTAGCCAGTTGCTGGAGAGTTTAAAGCAAAATAAATCTGCAATTTGTCTGCAAAATTCTAAATTCTCTGTGTGCTGCCACAAGCAGTCTGTTTTATTATTCTCCACCATACATTTTGTGTCTTGGGATATCCCATTGTTTTATCCCCACTGTTTTGTGTAAATTGGTACAACATTTTAGTTAGACACTTCCAGCCTCTTCTCCCCAATTTCTTTTTACCTTCTCCCGCACTGGGTTAAGAGGGTTCTATACTTGGTGTTACAAGGCTTCCAGAAAGAAATGTCTCTCTACCTCTAAGAATGAGAAGGATTTACATCCTTAGTATTGTCAAGCCTGAATAAACTACACTGGATTCTTCTTCACTCTAATGCTGGGCACACACCATACAACCATCGCAAGACTTTTGTCTTGCGATGATTGTAAGGTACTTAAAAAAACGTACGATCTGCCTATCTTGGACAGGCAGATTGTACTTGCGATGATCGCAAGCCGCGCCCCCCTGAGGGGTGGGCTTCCGATGACCACAATGCCGAACGGGCAGTGTGCGCTTGCGCACACCGGCCCATCCGGCTTTTATCGTATGAACATGCTACACACCCGCCGAACATCGTACAATGCTCGGCGGGTTTTCGAACATGTTCGTAAGTTAAAAGTCGTGCGACCTTACAGTAGTAGAGGTCGCACAGCTTCCACACACATTACGATAATCGTACGATCGCGGGATTGCCTGCGATTATCGTAAGGTGTGTGGGCACCCTCAGTCTCTAAGTCTTCTTGGTGAGGTGGACACTACCTTTGGATACCACAGTCTCAGGAGGTATGCTCAAATGCATAAATCGGTGGTTGAGACAGAACACTCTGCATTATAAATAGTCAAACTTTGATAAAACGTGTGATAAACAGTTAAAAGTAACATGCCCAGCTAATAAAATACATTTTCTATATGCATTACTGACATATACTTCTCCAGGTCAACATATTTTTACTAAATGTATCAGGCCAGAGGATAGAATACTGTTTATTACGTTACGTGTCTTTATGTTAATATCGTCTATAGGTAAAGACTGACGCTGCCACATGTTTATCAGTTCTAACCTACTTAAACAGGTGACACAGTTTTCATTACTGTTTAATATTTGATTTCTGGTATACCAGTATCCAATTCATCATCATATCTTTGCCAAACTACATTATTTGAAGCATATATTTACCACATGAAGCATACTTTCAACGTTATTAATAAATAAATATATTAATATTATTATTAAAAAATAAATATTTCAAATCATATGATTAAGAAAGTATTATGAACTGATGTGTGTATAGGCACTGGAGCAAAAAAAAAATGCTCCAGATTGCTAACTGAACACCATTTAAACTTATTTAGTTTAAAATTTAGAGGCAGAGCCAGCTGTACCCGCCCCCTCCCCCGTCCGTTCCGCCAGTCAGCGAGCCGTGACAGGATCGTCAGAGAGCCGTGACAGGATCGAGAGGTGAGCGAACGCTGGTATATGTTCGCTCACCTCCCGATCTACTGAGCCGACCTGTGACAGTCTCATACTCGGAGGTCGGCTAGAACTATGAGGTGAGTGAAAAGCACTCACCTCATAGTTCTCCTTTAAAATACACATGCTCTGTTTTTCTTTAGTCATCATGCCTTTCTCGGTGGAGGTCCCTCAGCCTGCATTGTCACATCCGGTATCATTGTGCAGGTTTTACCAGTACTTAGCATAGCAGGAAAAGACCTCCTTGTAGACAGCAATCTGCAATAATTTTTTTTGGCAAGCTGCAACACCAAATCCGAAAATCTAAATAGCAGGTGAAAATAAAGGTTGCTGTAGTCTAGGTGAAAATGATAAATACTATGTGCAGAACCATTTGTGGAACAAGTTCAATCAAATCTAAACCCAAGAAAACAAAAATGTAATATATTTCAACTTACAGGTCCTGAGATGTGGTGGCTACATTAGTTTTCTTTTTTTTTTTTAGCCTCTTTTTCCTCTCAGTGTACAGTGTACTCAGTGTACTGTATTTATGGAGGAGCAGCATTGTTCCCCTAAGGCAGGACTACAGAAAACCTCCACCTCCCCCCATCTCCATAACAGCAGGGAAGTGTTTTGTAGCCAACAGAGATAGCTGGAAATAATGCTAACTGACAAGAGTCAGCAAAGAGCGCTGACAGGATTTCTGGCACGATCGACAAGCATTTCCTTCACACTTATTGAACAAATATAACATAACAATTTGAAATGGTAAATTTAGCAGACC